TGATCACTACCAGGATTAGAATAAGTTTTATGAGTTAAGAATAATTTCTTATGGTACATTAATCATGTTTAACGTTGAAAATAGCATTAATATTTTCATAAATAGCAATAATTACTGTAACATTGATACGAAACTACTGAATAACTACTAAGTAATATACATATATATATTCGATTTTATTTAAATCTATTTAAATGTTTCATCGTTTGTTAATATAAGAAATGGCAATCACTTTTCGATCCCGAAGGATCAGGGAAGATAACTTTTCGAAGATTTTGTGAGGTTCTTGGAGTTCATCCAGAAAGACCGTACGTTCGTGTGATATTTTTAGATATAGTTCGCTGAAGTTTTATATTTGTTTAAATAATGAAAAGTTTTTATATTTAAATTGTATGCGAAATTTGTTTATTGTAGAATGGCTTGTGAATCCAGATATATAAGACATTTTGAGATGTAACCATTATTTCTACTTAGTTCATAGGGATTTTAACAGGAATTCTTTAAGGAATTTAGCGAATTAAACTAACCGAGATACAATTTATTGTTTAAAATGATACAGTCATAAGTGGGGATTCAAATGAAGACTAAGTATTAAAGATGTCAAGAATATTTGGAATTCAGTCCTTCGTGCTTCTTTTTGACTACAATAATTAAAAGTGATAAAATAGATTGAAATAAATGCTTAATACTAATTGATTGTCAGTAGTTCAATAGATGAAATCAGTTTGTAATGTAGTCCTAACCTCAGAATTCTGTCTGTTGCTTTATCAATATCACTGATATTGTTCACGATAATAATTTCGTTAATTTCATAGCTTTCCTACAACGAAATTATTTTCACTTCATAGATAATATTTTCATCTGAAGTTATATTATGTAATATTTGTGATGAATGAGACCTATTTTTTATGTTGATTAAGTTTCAGAGCTCACTCCATTTAAAATAAAGTAATTCCTTAACAACAAATTACTCCATAACACTTACAAGTTTCCAAATCAGGTATAAACACAAGGGTAATTGATGAATAACAACATTACTATTATATTATCTAGGTTAAATGAAAAAAGTTAATTTTAATTTGGTAACGTCAAACAAGATGCAGTGGACAATCCTTTTTTCCTAACCTGGTACAGCTCATGTGGGCACACACAACTTTGCCTGAACTAAAAATTTTAAACATCTGGATTTCGACATGGCCATCTAAAATCGGGTATTGGAATGTTCTCCATTTTGGTCATTGGTTCAAACTGATTAACAAATTTGAGCTAAGATGAGACCAGTGTTATTCGATTTTTTAAAGGTCCCCTACCTCCTGTCGGTTAGTCAATAAAATCACTTTCATATTTCATAAAAGAAACTCAAACAAAAATTAATTACATAATGATTACATCGAAGTACTTTATTTTTTTAAATGGAGTTTTCAATCATTTTTTTAAAATCTGACGTTATAATTTCGGTACCTTTCTATTATTTAGTCAAGCTGTAATCAGCAAACCATTATACGGAATACCTACAACAGGTCTACGACCTGAAATCTTTGTAATTATGCAAGAACTACCATTACAAGATCAAATCAAAATATCAGAAGAAGCTTATAGACTTACTCAACCACAAGATAAATTTATAGAAAAAGAAGCTTCAGAAAAACTTAAAAGATGGCTTGAAACAACATATGGTCGTCATTGGCATGTGACTATTGTCAGAGGTTCATATTGGACAACTTATACTCATATTCCAAATTGGTCATTTCATTTTAAAATCAATCAACATTCATTTATCATTTATCGTACAAATGAATGAAAGAATACTATGGCAGTATATTTTATTTCGATTTCGAATCAAAACAAAACTATATATTATTTTGTTACTTTATCTTTTTCCTATAAAGTTTTAATGAACTTCGCCCATTAACTTTGGATGTTTCGATTTTCTTGGCAGTATACATTTAGAATGTAAAACAATTTACTTGTATTTCTCAAGTAATTATATATTTGATAAGTCGTATAGGTTGAACGCTATATACGATTCCTAAGCTATTTCGGTAACCCGCAGACTAGAACTACACAGCGACTTGAACACCAGAGAGAAGACAAAAGTATAAGAGAAAATACTTTATCCCAAGGTTCATTCTTGTACAGAAAATCATGGGTATTTATAGATTTTGGCATCTGTTAAATCAACATCATTTTACAGCCAATCCGATAACAACACATTACGCTACCGACCAATAGTAGCACGCCACGTTGGAATTCTAGAACGTTCCATCACACTCTGATTGGCTAGGACTCTTCGGCTCCATTGTGGGCCTCTGGAGGCTCCGTTGAAGTTCTCCGGAAGCCGACCCAACACCTCCCCCGAATAAGATTTCTTTCTGGGATCCACTTGAAGTTTGATAACTGGATTGCGACGGCGTCCCACTGTCGTTTTTCTTGTCCAAGGCTTCTTTTCAGTGTTCCTGGGCGTTCGCGGCATTGGTGCGTTTCGAGTCTGCACCGTTCTTTTGTCCTTAAGGATTTGATTTGTGTGACGTATACATGTCCCAAAAGCTCCTCGAACTCTGTACAGTACTCTTCCCAGTTTTTGCACAACTTCGCCTGGCTCCCACCGGTTCTTTCCGACATAGGATTTAATGTAGACTTTGTCGCCAATACTGAAGTTCCGGATACTTGGATCGTGACTACGCTCATTCACTCGTTTGGATGGCAACATGGCATCGAAGACCGTTCGAATACGCCTTCCAAACATGGCTTCCGCGGGAGATTTGCCGTCTTGAACATTTGGGTTCGGGGTGGATCTATATGATGTTAAAAATTTTGTGATCACCTGTTCAGTTGTCCCTTCTCCTCCCCCTTTGAGTAATGCTCGTTTAAAAGTGTCCACAAAGCGCTCTGCTTGTCCGTTTGATTGTGGATGATAGGGTGGAGAACGAAGATGATTTATTCCGTTTGTTCTACAGAAATGTTTAAACGATTCTGCGGCAAATTGAGAGCCATTATCCGTCACTAATGTTTCTGGTACTCCGAAACTGCTAAATAGGGTAGACAACTTGCGGATCGTTTCTGACGTTGTACAATTTGGCATGATGTATACTTCCGGCCATTTAGTGAATGCATCTACGATAATCAGAAACATTTTTCCTTGAATTGGCCCGGCAAAATCTGCGTGAAGTCTTACCCAAGGTCCCGCGGGCATAGGCCAACACTGGGGTTCGCATTTCGAAGGATTTTTAGCGGCTTGAATGCATGATGAGCAGTTACGGCATTTATTCTCGATATCTTTGTCCATTGACGGCCAATAAGCATAGCTACGAGCCAAAGATTTCATTTTACTGATTCCAGGATGACCACTGTGAAATTGCTTGAGAATCTTGTGACGTAATGACTTCGGAACAACAATGCGGTCACCGAACATAATACAGGAGTCAACAACCATTAGAGAGTCCCGTCGACGAAAATATTGCAGAAGTTCTCCGTCGAGGCGATTGTTTGGCCATTTGGTGAGAAGATAATCACTAACTTCTCTTAAAGTCTTGTCATTTACAGTGGCTTCTTTGATGGCCTTGAAAGTAACTGGTAATCCGTCAACTGCGTCTTCCAAAACTCGATGTACTTCTGTTTCCGTCTCGATTGCTGCCACCAAAGTGTCTTCTTTCTGTTTTACTTGTGACCCAATCAGTCTAGATAAAGCGTCAGCTTGTCCAAAATCAGTAGTGGGCTGGTATTTGATCTTGAAGTCATAACCCAAGAGTGTAGTTCCCCAGCGTTGCAGTCTGTTTGCAGTATATGCAGGTATACCTTTCTTTGACCCAAAGATGGCTAGTAATGGTTTATGATCAGTTAATAGGGTGAACTGACGTCCAAATATCATCTTGTGAAATTTCTTGACAGCGAAGATAATCGACAATGCTTCCTTCTCGATCTGACTGTAATTACGTTCTACTGAAGTTAACGATCTAGCTGCATGTGATATCGCCTTCTCAGATCCATCTGGCATGACGTGAGAAATAACTGCTCCAATGCCGTAATTCGAGGCGTCTGATGCCACTACAATGGGTAAGGATGGATCGTAATGTGTGAGTAGCAGATCCGAGACTAGTACTTTCTTGATTTCATCGAAAGCGGCTTGGCAAGTTGCAGACCAATTCCATTTTACATTCTTCGCCAGAAGGTTATTCAGGGGGGCACGTAATTGATGAAGGTTCGGAATAAAAGCTCCATAATGGCTAACTAGTCTCAAGAAGGATCGTAGTGTGGGGACATCCGTCGGTCTGGGCATAGTTTTCACTGCCAGGGTATTCTCCGGATCTGGTCTTCTTCCATCTTTGTCGATTATAAACCCAAGGTAGCGTACTTTTTGTATACAGAAGTCGCATTTCTCTGGACGAAGTCGAAGTCCATATTCGGCTATTCGCGTCAGCACCTGGTCAAGCTTCTTTTCTAAGTCTACTCTATCTACACCCATAATTATTATATCATCTAGGTAAGCTGCAGCACCTGAAACACCTTGTAGCATAGTATCCATTATTTGCTGAAATATGGATGGGGCCGTCTTGACTCCGAAGGGTAGTCGATTATACCGGAATAGACCCTTGTGTGTGTTTATGGTAAGCAGGTTTTTAGACTCGTCAGCAACAGGGATTTGTAAATAAGCTTCTGATAAATCCAACTTTGCAAAAAGCTTACCTCCGTTCAGTTTAGCAAAAAGATCTTCAGGCAAGGGTAATGGATACTGATGAGTTTCTAAAGCTTCATTCAAACCGGTAGAGTAATCGGCACATAAACGAACGTTACCATTAGTCTTCTTTACTACTACTATCGGTGCGGCCCATTCTGAGAAATTCACTGGTTCAGTGACACCGAGTTTCTGAAGTCGTTCTAGTTCTTGTTCAACCACTGGTAAAGCAGCATATGGTACGGGTCTCCTAGGTCGAAAAACGGGAGTAGCTACAGGCTTTAGAGTTAACAGTGCTTTGGCCTTCGTACATTCTCCCAATCCTTCTCTAAAAACGTCTTTGTAACATAGCGTTTTTCTGGCTCCCCACTGGGGTGTTGTCTGTACTTACTCGTCTGCAGATGCTGTTGATAGAATGATCAGCTAGTTTAAGCGTTTCTATAAGATCCAACCCCATTAAGTCTAGTGCTGGCTTCTTAGTAAGATACAATGTTGCATTTGTTGTTACCATACCTTTAGAAACAGTGCATAGCACTTCTCCAACAATATGTAACTTCCCACCGGATGCACTGTGTGCCAGCTGTGTCGTTGGAAAAATTGTGGGTCTTCCGATGTTCTTCCATGTTTCAGGGCTGATTAAGGTAATATCAGAAGCTGTGTCAAGCTGAAGGCGGGTTCGGCGTTTATTAATATTCAAGGTCACATACTTTCTTTGGTGGCAACTTTGTGCTCTGTTATGTGATACCAATATCTTGTTGGTTTGAGCACTATATCTATATTTCTTCGAGTAAGGTTTCAAAGAATGTTGTTTATGGCTTCTTTTTCTGCAGCAGTTTTCTCTATAACCCTTCCGATGACATTTGATGCAACGATGTTCTTTATATGGACAAAACCTCTTATAGTGCCAACCTCCGCATGCCCAGCATGGAGATGGTGGTTTGTCGCTGTTATTTCGATAATTATGGGTACTGGAACCTTGATAGACTTTTCTCTTGACTGCATTAACGTTATGGAAAGAGTTACCTTTTTCTACCATTGAAGTATCATGCTTTAAGTTTACTAACCTTTGGCACTCAGCAGTCACTTCTTGCAGGGTCATGTTAGGGCAGTGTTCAAGTTTGCTTAGGATTCTTGTTCGGATATCAGCATCTTCGGGTGAACTCAGGCTGCAGATAAATACTAAGCATTTGAACTGATCTTCCGACATGGACGACAATCTGAACCTCTCACATTCTCGGTTCACAGTTCCTGCATGTTTCACCCAGTCATCGCCTGGTTCTTTCGTTAACTTTAAGCACTGGTAACGGATATTAAATAGCGATGATTGTTCTCCGAAGATTTGGGACAGGGTTTTGACTGTATCATCAAAACTAAAATCTCGTGGGTTCTTCGGAAGAATGAAATTGCTATAGCGTTCATGTTCCATAGTCCCAAGTTTTCTAAGAAGTATTCTCACTTTTGAAGCATCATCCAGTTTGCAAAGATCAATATAAAACAAATCTTCATACTTCTTAAACCAGGACTCGAAAGTCACACCTGCTAAACCATCAAAATTAAATTCATGAATGGCATTAATGACTGAATCAATATGTGATACTTGAGGTTCACTAGAAGCAGGATTTTGCTGGGACAGGCAGAATTTCTGCATCAGGGTTTCCATGATTCTAATTTGGGACTCTTCAATTCTCTTTTCTTGACGCGCCATATAGGCTTCTAATTGCTTCAAGGAAATATTCATTGTAGTTTTCATCTCCGTCGCCACTGATAAGTCGTATAGGTTGAACGCTATATACGATTCCTAAGCTATTTCGGTAACCCGCAGACTAGAACTACACAGCGACTTGAACACCAGAGAGAAGACAAAAGTATAAGAGAAAATACTTTATCCCAAGGTTCATTCTTGTACAGAAAATCATGGGTATTTATAGATTTTGGCATCTGTTAAATCAACATCATTTTACAGCCAATCCGATAACAACACATTACGCTACCGACCAATAGTAGCACGCCACGTTGGAATTCTAGAACGTTCCATCACACTCTGATTGGCTAGGACTCTTCGGCTCCATTGTGGGCCTCTGGAGGCTCCGTTGAAGTTCTCCGGAAGCCGACCCAACAATATTGTGTACTTCACTGAAAGAAAACGCATTTCACATTCACTGTTACTTTATTTAATAACAATTTCAATATTGAATCATGTAGGCTAGTATACACAGTACAAATTGAATGAAAGAATACAATCATTATTAAAGACTAAATAATATAAGACATTGGTTAATGCCTAGTAATAAATTGGTTTAGACAAAATTGTCTTTTAAGAAATTAGTTACTATCGGAATAACTAACTGTTAGATTTCTTCGGTTTCAGTAATCTAAGTGTCAACGTTTCGAGGAACATTTGCTCCATATAGATTGGTAATAATTAGTCTTGATAATTGTCAACCGTAAAGAAATCTAAGTCTTCTGAGTTTGCTGACAATTGCTTCTGAGGTTCAGAAAGTTTCGATAAGACTGTTTGTAGTTAAGTCAATTTGTAGAGTTATGAGTGCTCTGTTGTTTGATATATCGAAAAACGTCATTGGACAGGTTTTAATCTCAGGTTTGCACAATATAATACTATCACTCAAAAGATCAAGTATCAGGTTGGTAATCTAAAAGCGAAGTGATGATTTCAAGCGATTTGGAGAAACGAACGCATTAATTTTGATAAAATAAATAAAAAATAAACATTAGAAGCTGAAGTTTATTAAAATATATTAATGTGTGAAATTATTAGTACCCCGGCATACAATAAAAATAGTTGTATAAAGTATCCAATTTCCATCCATTATTATTATTGAATTGAATTTTCCAGTTTGATAAGGAATACTTAACACCTTAGTATTTATTGATTTTCCTTCGCCAAGCTAAATAATATTGGGATTCTATTTAATGAAATGCTAAATACAGATTAAGGGCTCGCGTGCAAGACTGACAGATCCCGGATTTGAATCTCGCGAGGCGAAGTAGTGGATGCACACTGCTGAGGAGCCCCATAATAGGACGAATTGGCTGTTCAGTGCTTCCAACTTTTCCATGGTGATCTAACTTCAGTTGACTCATGATCTCAACTACTTAAATTACTACAATCTTCACAAAACCCCTTTTGGTATAATTCTTAGTATGAAATAAAATAGTGAATCTCGTTTAACGGTTAAATAGTATGATAACGAATTATTTTGTTTTGTTTTACTCTAAAGCAGTTAACAAAAACAGATCAAGAAATTAAACTACTTTTATAAAATTTATCTGAATTCTTATGATTACTTAAAATGTAAATAGCTAAAATTTACAAATCATTTAGAGTAATTGTTTACTTCAAGTTATATGAGATGCTAGAGAAGATTTGTAGCTCACGTGGATGACTTAAGTAGAATTTTGTTTATGAGTTTAATTAAGTGATTAATTGTGTGACTTCTATCCGAAGTTTGTGTTGATGATGTTGTTGAGAAAAACAATAAAAGTCTCGAGACCAAACTATACAGCTTAGATAACAAAACTCCAACTTAATCAAGTTATATAACTTCACTTGAATAATTACGATCTTTTGATAAGTCATTGTTTTTGTCTAGATAATCTGTTAATTAACTTGTTTTGATGATTTCGCTAAAAAAAATAGCATAAATTGTAATAAACCTCATCATGCGTATGCAACACCAGTATATTTGTGTGCCTTTTTTAGCTTCACTTAATATTTGTATAATTTTTAGTAATGTACATATTTTCATAACAAGTACTCGATCATCCAAATGAAATCTATGGTTTATTAGTTTCAAGATTTAAACTCTTTGTTTTGCCAAGATTAGATTAAACATGCAGTATTGTTAGGCTTTAAGTAAGACAGTCAATCTAATTATAAAATCTTTAACTTAGCAGATAATTACAGTGATACAGTGACGTTTTTATAGAAATTTTTATAATCTACCTTCTTATAGATTTATATTCAGAAGAAATATTACATTGAAGAAGAACTGTTTCAAACTAAGTAGTATTAAATTGATCCATACTTCTCGTAGTACAACAATAAACTATAAAGATAATGTTGAATAGATAGTGGAATAAGTGGTTTGTCGATACACGTATATACACTTAAACTGTGCTTGACCAGTTTGATTAATTTAAATAATATCTAAATAGACTCAAAGTCCTTCAAACGGTAGAAGCACTAGCCATTACCTTCAACCGCTTTTCCTGACCTGGTCAGGGCTAATAAGTCAATGGTAATTTTAGCTATTGAATGATCAAATACAAATGTCTCTGTTTTCTTTATTTAGGTATTTTTGTATTGTTAGTAGTATGGTTATTATTATTGGTTCAACGTCATTATGAATTTCCCCAATACATGATTCATTTACTTCTCATTAACCCCACCTTATTATGTCTTACTCATAATTTTTTTTACATAATATAGTCCTCCAATAAACATTTGATCGAACTGTAATTGCGCTATTATTTCTCTCACCCTATCTGACCCTTATTTATTCTGATCATGTAACTTACACAATGACGTTTAAGCTGATTCAAGTCAACTTTGCATTCGAGTCATCGAGACATTAACAATTTCATTCTATTTTTATTTAATAATTCTAAATTCACATTCTATAACTAGATTCACTTTGCCCTAAACCTGACCCCTTTTCGGATTATTACCTTGTGTATATATTTGTAGAACCGAAACAGAATCTGTTGAAAAGAATATCCATCGTTCATATATCTGTTGTAATATCTAAACAAGTCAATGGGTTCTAAAACAACCTACAGATTGTATAACTGCAAACCCATCACGGCAACGATTGTTCATACTGTTTGTTCAGTTTCTCTCTAGTTATGGATGATTATAACTACTCTATTATCTTAACGAAATCACCCTCTGATAAATTATTCATACTTCAGCAGAGTGTCCTGTTCCTTCTACTAAGAATTACAGTTTCTTAACTGCCGCTTCACATTATTATAATTCTTGCGAATAATGTCCGTTCGAAATAACTTACGAACCACATTTTTAAAACGACTTATTTATTACTTGATTCTTCTCTTTCTGTGTCAACGACAGTATGTACGTGGACTGTCACGCATTGTGTAATTATTTCCAGAATATAATTTATGCAATTATATATATATATATATATATATATATATATATATATATATATATATATATATATATATATATATATATATATATATATATAATCCGTGTTTCTGGTCACCTCAAAATGGAATTTATCTACTTAGCTGAGTCATTACATTTGAACTTAATAAATTGAGAGTAAAAATATTTATAACAAAAAATCAATTCATTCCAGCTCGAGGATGATCATTAGTTGCAAATAATAACCAGAAACAATGATTTGTTATACTTTTAAATGATATACTGATGATATTCTCTACAAAGACAATTAAAGATTCACGGTTAAACGATTCAACTCAAAGAATACAACACCTCAATCTATAAATATTCTGCATCATTTAAGAAAAAAATAATTATTCAAAACTGACTGATTTTGAACGATTCACTAACCTATGCCTGGACTGTGCTCAACATTATCTTTTGGATTCATTTTTATTTAGTGATGTCATAATCATGTGTTTCCGAATACGTTTAAAGAGTATTTTTCTAGACATAATCGGGTAATTTGTTTTCTTTACTAAGTCAGCATTTTTCATATTCTTTAGTTACTACCTATACATGTGTATATATGGATGTATGTGTAAATATTTGCATCATTTCATGATACATGTGCATACCTATACTAGAATAATCATATATCATATTTTGATATTCCAATAGGCGTTGAACAAAATCAACAACATTAAGTGTTGTCATTCCGACATCTTCAATCTATAAAATCAATCATAATGTGATATGAACTGATATATCAGTCAACAATATTGCAGTATAAATACGAATAAGCAACATTTAAATTGATTCAGTCATTAAAAACACATTTACCTAATTCATATTGAATTTTTGTTTATTGTGATGGATCCATTTTTACATGCATTTTTTGCAGTTGATCTTGATCATGATGAAAAAATCAGTATGAAGGATTTAAAGAATTATGTTGAAACATACAATCTAGACGATAAAATGATTGACGTAAGTTAAGGCATTTTTTTCTATCAAAAAAGATTCTGATGTATTATGGGGCACTTGTAGTTGAATAAAGACTATTCATTATTAGATTGAATGATGTTTTTCAAAGAATACAATGTTTAGTTATTATTCATAAGACATAGGTTTCGTTAATAACCTCTATAGAATAAAACATTGCCGAAGGTTGATTTGGAAGTAATTCACTTGACGACTAAGGATGTTGAATCGGACCAATTCATCAATTATTTGGCAACAGAAACCATCATGATTCCTCAGTCATGGATTAATCGTAATCAATATTTAGTATTTGCTTATTGCCTAGCTCTCGCAGATCAAGACGTAGTAAAGCCACCATTTTTAGTGACTTGAAGTCTGTAGAATGACATAAATAGATGGGAAACTTAGAATCAAGTCATATCAACTAGTCAGTGGTGTTACAAATAACTTTCGACAGTTACACTAAAAATATCATGAAAATAGAAATGATAAATCTGAAATACGAAATAATTACGTTTTTTTAGTTTGATTTGAGCTGCTTCAGTTCTAAAACCGAAATTACCGAACACCAATGGATTTGATAAGCAACTATGACCTAAACGATTTTCAGACATCTCTCTGAACATCATATCTATTTCACTATTCAAAATAAATATGGGAGATAATAATGTTGGCTAGAATTGATATTGACCAACCAAATTCACTACTATTATGAATCCGATAATAAGAATTTCATTGGCCGGTCAAAATGACGCTTTTGATTGGTGTAAGAAGTTTACAGGTCAACGGTAGAAGGGCAGATGTATTGGAACAGATTGTCAGAGACATATGCGAACAGAGTATAGCTGTCGTCTAAATTACATAGGCTGAAGAGGGATATAGGAATGAAAGATAAATTCTAGTGTTGCAATTACTTGCATTCTAACTCATTTGTATACGTTTTTTGGATTCACTCAGTTATATTGTAATTCGTCTGTCAGTTATTCAGTAAAAGAATCGGAATACTTTGTGAAGGATTCTGGTTCTATCACAGTTGATTGTGTTCGGTTGCTACCATACCTAGTGCTATCGTCGATGTGTCTTCAAACTTTTGGAGCATTCAAAATGCATAGCAATGTGCTATAAACAGAGTTTCTTTCGTCACTCTTTTTTTTAAACATTTCCAATATCTCGCCCAGATATATACTAAGCCGAGTAAATTAAATTTCCCAATCAGAATTCTTGTATTTCTCTTTTGGCAGTGCATTTTCGACTTTTAGTAATAAGTAAATAGGACTATTATTCATTCGAAAAAGCTTTTTTATTTCTTGTTTATTTAGGATTGCTCGTACTTCATTTCATGTAGTGGGGGAATAACGATAAAGTTAACTTAATCTTTAAGTGAACCTCTTTTTTCCCTTATTTTCCTAATAGTCTTTTAAATACAGTATTCAGGGTAATCATACATGCTCAGTAAAGTCAGGTTTGAATTGAGTACAATCTCTGTGCCATCCGTGCCAAGTTATTAAACTCTGTCTATCAGATCCTTACCGCCTATTATCTATATGCTGAGTTATAAACTAGATATCTCTAAGATTGTCTTCGATTTTGGAATTTACTGATTTTTTGTGATGATCCTGTTTTCTTTAAAACGAACAGTCATGAAGTACTAAATTACAGTCAATAGAATTAATCTCCTTGATAAACCTGATGCTATATAACATGCCGTTGACATTGTTCTGAACGCTTCTTTTAATCAGTTTCATTCCGTATTAATAAAGGCATTATCCGGACAATATGACTAGACATCTTTGTGGAAACAAAAATACATTTTCAGATTATTCTTTGGTACATCAAATGCATAAACAATTTCACATCAATTGAGGAAGCTGAAAACTACACTGATAATTCTTTTGTTTACCATTATAGACTTTGTTTAAAATGAACAAAGTGATTTCAACGTTTTATTAATTTGAACGAGATACAACGGAAAATATGTTTCCAAGTTCACGTCAGATTCTAACCTCTCTAATGTAACCTCTAGGCATTTCTTAATAGGTATATTTGTAGATATTACACAAAATTCAAAACTTGTCATTGTTTCATCTTCTTACAGATAGATAACCGTAATAGCGCTTTTAAATTCAGTTGAATATTTGATTCCTTACATTAATTTCGTATTTAAGAATTGTTAGATTACAAATTGATATTGAAGACATTATCCGTCTGCGAGTCTACATAGTTAGTTTGGTAGCACATTCATGTTGTGGTTAATTAGTAATACAAAAGATCTACACTAACTTCAACATTATAGACTGAAAATGGCAACTATAATTTCCTAATCTCGTCTCCAGAAACTTAAGCGTTTACTTTGTTCTGTGTGATTAGGCGTTTATTTTCTCTGATATTTCCATAAGGTCCGTCCTTAAAAAAATTCTCCTTTTATTATTATTACTATTATTATTATTATTATTATTATTATTATTATTATTATTAATGGCTTTATTCAATATTATATTTTGGTACAATATAGAATTCTCAGCACAGGGTATTTGAACATGTTACTTACGCAACAAAAAAAACAGTAAAAAATACAAAAAAAGGTTTAAAAAACCCAAAAAACTGTACAACTCTTAAAATTAAAAATATGTTAAGAATGCAGGTTATTGACTGGGTTAACTCTAACAACCTGTTCATCACAGAGTATATTTGCTAGGTGGGTTATTATAGACCTTTTATACTATTACTTGCGTGCATGGATTTTAATGTGATTAAATCTTGTTTTACCAGAAGATATACAAGGAGAAAGATATGAGTGAAGGAGATGGTTAGTTTCTGATAAAATAACACCTGCCAGGAGTTTGCATGACTTTAGATGTCTATCCACAACCATATTAATTATGATCTCGAAAGATTCACCACACATCTTGCTAACTGCTTTCAGCACTCTCCGCAATACAGCAAAGTCTTTTATCAAAAGCCCGGGAGAGAATAATGGAGAATAATAAAGAATAATAGGCAATATGCAAGAATTCACAAATTGTAAGAGTAAACGACGAGTAATCCCAAGAGCATGCAATCTCTTTATGTAGTAAGTCAGACGGAAAACCTTCTTCGATAATAATAAAACGTGAGAAGACCACGAGAGATCAGAGGAAAAGGTGACACCAAGATGATTGACCTTCGACACTGTGTTTATCAAAGAGTCTCTAATGGCACAAGCATCATGGGATTTTAAAATGGTGTTTAGATGACGTTCATGTCTCTTGCCAAAGTTAACAGAATTAAGTGACTGAAGACATCTTCGGACATCAGTTTCAGTGAAACTAGGAACACAGCAATTATTTAAAACCTGTGGATAAAGGGAGCATCGCATCAGATGACTGGCGTACAAAAGACTTATCTAAGTCACAAACATTCAGCTGGTTATCGCTCCTAAACTGTCTGTCATCTGTAAGTTCTTTAAAGAGTTTCCACATACTTGGAGAGTTTTTGCAAGACAAGAGTTTTTGAGTAAACATAGAGTTGGCACGAATAATCTTTATGTTTATCAGAACATTTAGCTTACGAACTTCATTACAGTTTTTCACCCTCCGTAGTCGTTTTAGTTGTGAAGATGTAAGCCGATGAAAACTTTCAGTGGGACAACAATTATCAAAACAGAATTTAAGATAACAAGTGATAACATCAGTAGTGTTTTCCAGTGAATCATCTATAAATAATTCCCAGTTAGTCGTACGAAATATGTTTTTCAGATTTCGAATATTTTCTTCTGAGTAATTCCTATATTTGACATTCGTGGTTTGATGTAAGAGTGTACTCTTCCTATGCTCTCCATATACTTTTGGTAGAACACGAATTATACAATGATCCGAGTTAGACAGTGGAGCCCGTTTGCGAGTCACATATATACCCACATCATTAATGAAAACAAAGTCTAAATGAGCATCCAAACGGGTAGGAAAATCTACTACATTTTGGTGACCTAGTGACATAAGGAAGCTACAGTCATATGAATTGAAATCACCACATACGACTGAAAGGGAATTACTGAAGGCAGTAACAGCAAACTCAGTGAATTCATCAGCGAAAACAGCGTAGATGATGTGCAGTCTGGAATCACGTAGATATTGGTAACATAAACATACTTGTATTTATTCAGATGTTTTGGACGACATCTTAGAGTTAGACTGTCGATGAATTCATTTGAAAACTTAAAACACACGAACGAAGATCGACACCAGTTTATGTTCACGAACGTAGCTACACCGCCACCACACCTCTTTTTATTGTTTGATCGATCTTGACGATAAATTTTTAAATCACGTATTGATACTAGGCAGTCGTCCTGTAAATCATTTAACCAAGTTTCTTGAATTGTGATGACACCACAATTAGGATACATATTTTAACTTAGTAGGAATTGCAGATAGTCCACTTTGTTGATTAGTGATCACTAGTTAGAATTTAGCAGCTAGGGATTCGACATACGATTAACGTTCATTCTCTTTAACGCGTATTGCCAACCACCACGATGTCTTTTGTAGTAATTTTTTGTAACTTGTGCAGCGAAAGGTCGTAGGCTTTTGACAAAAGCGCCTGAATAGGTCATGCGATTAATAGACATAAATATAAGTTAAAACAAATGAAAGAAACGGATAACTTGTTGAAATAATTACATGGCAGAAACAGGTAGCCCAGATATTCAAGCAGGCCGCCAACGATTTGATATTATCATAAAATTAAAATAGTACAGTTTTGTCTTAGGCGACCTCGAGTTTCATTACTCAATATATTTTCATACTTAACCGCACAAAAAGTAGCTGTCTTACAAGATTTATTGCGGTTTCAACATGCTATGAACTGTTTATATGTCATGGTGTTAAAACATTGAAAGCATAGCTGCAGTGCGATCCGATTTATCAATATTTCTTTTAAAATCTTTAGAGTAATTTAACTATAACGCAAATAAATATACCGATGACTGACATTATCTTCAAATTATAAGGGGCTAAAAATTCATCACGTTTGACGTACGTTACTAATTAATTTCAAATTCAAGCAACTAACCGAAAAATAATTTCTTAAGTTTTTGTTTTCACTCCTCATGCTGACTTATTTACAGAACATTTTCAAATAGGTAGGTAAATTTCGATAGTATGATATTCTCTGGGTTGAATAATATAATCATTATATTTCTAGACAAACCTATCAATACAAATTTTATCCTATTCTTGGAACTTTGTGCTGACACTGATGTGTAAACGCTAATGTTTAAATAAAAAACTTGCTTCGGTAACACTTTAAAAAAATCATCTTAATTTAGTTGCTCATTACTCTGAATAGTTTTAAAACATAGACAGTATGACAATATAAAATGTTGTATGATTGTATTATTGAAGATTTAAAGTTGGGGTGTTATTTTATGATATGCTCAGAAATGAACATATCTAACCAAATTTCTGTTATCCTCATACATATACTTTGGAATATACAAGTTTGTTACTTCATAAATACTTACAATATTCAGTCTATTAAGTTTATTTATAACCTTGCTATACTATACTAATATATCCTCAATATAACTTCCAACTAAACCCTCTTATTTGAGTAGTTTAAACCCATTATGCTATTATGATTTTAAATATCTCAGGTTGTAAACAGCAGACGAGAACGAAGGACATAAAATTAATTCATACTATTCTGTAGGTATCATTACCAAGGTTTGACTTGATAATTTCGAATAATATCAGAAGAGGTTTGTGGAGATTTTAGAAATTCCACAGATTGAAATCATGAGTCAATTGAAGCTAGACCACCACGAAAAACCTGGAAGCACTGGAAGGCCGTTTCGTCCCAGTATGGGACTCCTCAGCAATGCGCATCCACGATCCTGCACCCCGCGACATTCGAACCCAGGACCTATCAGTCTCACTCCAAACGTTTAACCAACTAGACCACTGAGCCGGCATTCAATGATGTTAATGTCTAACTTCAACCAATGTACAAAGTTGCGCTACCATATACCATTGTCTTCAGTGAGCTGATATCTCACAACAGACCTGGTTGAACTCCACTAGTAACGGCTTCCCACTAGAACTCCAGGAGTATTTCTTGAATTCAGTCACTAGTGAGCAGATGGTTATTATCAGAAAAGGGGTTTGTGGATGCGCACTGCTGAGGAGTCCCATTCTAGGACGAAATGGCCGTCCAATGCTTACAGGTTTTCCATGATGGTCTAGCTTCAATTGACTCATGATTTCAATCTGTGAAATTTTGAATAAATTGACCATTGGGTAGATTGTTATAAGTAAATATATTATTTATTTATTCATACTATTCTGCTAAAATTTTTGTTCTTACTCTATTCAGAAATAGAATTTAAATACTTAAATTTCATTTCTGATGAAAATCAATAGTTTTTTTTAAGGGGGGGGAGGCGGTAAAATAAAAATTGAAAATTAAAAATATATACATATATCGGTTGTCAACTTAGTCTCTATGGTTTAATCAATTAACAGATACCGATTATTAATAAATTACATTTCATTATTATTATTTTTTCCTTAATTGAATGAAAATGTCACTATCTGTTAATAAAAAGTGAAAATCCGACAACAATAAAAAAAATTGGCTTTATAAGATTTTTGTTTTTTTTTAAAAGAAAAAAAAATTGTATTTGGAGCCATTTGATATTAATTTTAGAAGAAAAGAAAAAAAATCAAATTAGAGCTATGGTATTGTTTGAATGAGTTAGTACATTCTTATTTTTATGTGGCAATATTTTCTATTTATCTTTTACATATTAAAGTTGGACTGAAGTATTGGATATTAGAAATCCGCAATGATTTGAGAATATAGCTATGAGAATGGGTTTTGTGGAGATTTTTAGAAATTTCACAGATTGAACTCATGAGTCAGTTGAAGCTAGACCACCATTGAAAACATGGAAGCACTGGACGGCCGTTTCGTCCTAGTATGGGACTCCTCAGCAGTGCGCATCCACGACCCTGCACCACCCGGGGCTCGAACTCAGGACCTACTGGCTTCGCGCGCGAGCACTTAACCATTAGACCACTGAGCCGGCATCCAACGGTGTTAATGTCTAACTTCAACCAGTCCACGAAGTTGCGCTACCGTACACCACTGTCCTCAGTGAGTTCCTATCTCACAACAGACCTGGTTGAACTCCACTGGTAACGACTTCTCACTAGAACTCCAGAAGTGTCTCCTGAGGAGTCCCATATTAGGACGAAACGGCCGTCCAGTGCTTCCAGGTTTTCAATGGTGGTCTAGCTTCAACTGAATCATGATTTCAATCTGTGAAATTTCTAAAAATCTCCACAAAACCCATTCTGATAATAATATAGCTATGTGTTTTGTTAAAAAAAATTTAACTATGATAGGGATGTTTAATGATAAATTTGGGTGTTTAATCTTGGATTGTATGATTAGAATATGTCAATTAACCACATCAATATTAAATTTTCATTGTGATGATTTACATAAATATTGAAATAATTTTGTTCAATCATTAAATGTCAAACTATGACAGTTTTCATCATCTAATTTGTTAAGCTTTATTATCTAATATTTGATTAAATTTCTGAGTTTAGATCTAATTGATGAAACAATTTTTAACACAGCTGGTGAATGAGAAATTAAAAATACAAAACTCTCAAGATACAGAGAACAGATAGTTTAGTAATGAGAAAGTTTTACTTTTTTTTTATAACAAAACTGATCTGAAGTTTCAAAGATTGTTTCTTAACTACTGTTTAAATATGTGAATAATATTTCTAGTTCAGCTTAGAACGCAATATTTTGAAAACAAGTTGAGTTGTAAACACCTATTTGTTGAATAAAACACTTAGTCTATGCTGTTGACACAAACTTTTCGTTGTTATATGATCACTTTTCATCATATTCGACCTAGCAATATCTAATATCATCAAAGTCGTCAGTAAGAAAGTATAATTTTCTATTAAAAATTTAGTTTTAATGAGAATACATACATGTAATTAGTACATTAACTGCTTTTTTAGGAAGTGAGTATTGAATTCGTTTGGCTAATATTATGATAATATATTGATAGTACTAATACTTATACTAGATAGATAATTTCTCTGACAAAATATTTCATTTTTCTTATTATCTATAGAGCTGGAGAAAATTATTTGATCCAAATCATACTGGCTATATAACACTAACAAAGTTTTGTGATGTACTAGGAGTAAAAATGGAAGAAGCGTAAGTGTTCTGAATCGGAAATAGGAAATAACATTTACAAATATCATATCTTTCTATTAAGTGAAGGATTTATTATTAGGAGACTTGTCTGAAAGTAAATTTCATTTTGAGATGATATCAGCTAAAAGTCACCAATCACCGGAGACAATTAGCCAGATAGTTTTTTACTGACATTTGACCTGTTTATGGGTTACAAAAATTATAATCATCATGGTTAACAAATTTTCAACGATATCATTTGACTACTGAGTAAGTAGCCAGTTATACTTGTTTTTTAAATTGAATTAATCTACAAACAATATCATCATTTATTGATTATCTGACATTGCGTTTTATTGATTATAAATACCAAAGTTGAAATTGCACAATTTGACGATAGTGAACATTTGGAAATGAATATATATAATAAGCGGAAGTTTTCATCATTAAGTGATAATAATTTCTGGAAAAAGTACAATCTTTCATTAAATGACATTTATGAAACAATGGGATTGGGTATAACAATAAATTGCACAAATGATAATTAACATTTTAAATATTAAGTTAACTATCTTTTTGATTGAAATCATGAACCGATTGATGCTAGACCACTGTTGGAAACCTGGAAGGATTGGACGGCCGTTTGGTCCTTTTATGGGACTCCTCAGTAGTGCGCATTCACGATCCCGCCCGTGGAATCCGAACCCATGGCTTTCAGTATCACGCGCGAACGCTTAACCTACTGGTGTTAGTGTCTAACATGAACCATCCACAAAATTGCGCGATACCTTTCTCTACCCGACACGGATCAGCTTCAGTGATCACGGCTTCTCACATCAATCGGTTCATGATCTCAATCAAAAAATTAAAAATCTTCATAACCCCTATAATGATAATTAACTATCTGTTAAATCATCCATAACATGAATAGATGGTTGATATTTTTAAAAATATCATGTATTTAAATCCTATAAAATTTGAGTATAAAAATCAACAACTGAAAGTAAGTTAGGTAGATACTAATTTATTTATTAAGAATAAGTCATTATTTTCGATCTATTTCTCATTCTAGCATGAAAAATATAATCTATTAACTGTAAACATGTTATCTAATTTAGTTAATGAATATATGTTCATGTTTTTCAAGATGTAGTTGAACATTGACTACTTTTATATTCAGAATTTTTTATATTACTGTTTATTTGAATACAGTCGAAAGGTTAGAGAAGAAATTAAAAGACGTTCAACCAATACACTTCCATCTGATGTCTATGTTATTGCACAACAAATGAGTATCGCCGATCAGATACAAATAAGTGAACAAGCTAGACGTTTATTATTTCCACCTAATGAACTTGATAATAAAGAAATTGCTCATAGTTTAAAATTATGGCTACATAAAGTGTATGGTCCAATATGGCATGTTGTGGTAATACGTGGAGATTATGGTGCATCATATACGCATTCAGAGAATCGATCATTTCAATTTCGATTACGAAATAAATGCTTTTTAATATGGAATACACCTGATCAATATCAACTGAATTAAACAGTCATTTCGATTATATTTTTAATGATAAAGAAATAATTGACGAAAAATTTCTGTGTACTTTTTTCTTCTTTCAAATTGAGATTTTATTTGTATCGGTTTGTTGTTCTTCTTATATTGACAAATTCATTGTCTTTCATAAAGACAATAACAGGTTTCTTTTTGCATAACTTTGATTAGTTTAAAACTATGAATACATGACTCTTGACAGTTTAAAGCATTGACAGATAAAATCAATCATTATAATAAATTTAAATAGACAGATTAAGTTTTTCATGGTTACTTGGATTGGATTTAATGAAATTCCACATAGATATTACCGTTTAATAATCGTTAAACATTGGGAATTTCTTCAAGCTGATTTAATAATAATTTTTAAAAATTCATTCATTTTTTTGTAATAATCGTACTGGTACAATCATAGTCAAGATATCTATTTGACATGGTAATTGGTAGTTCTTAACTTTTATGGAAACTTTACTTATATGTGTAAGTTTGATAAACTTGAATGCTATTACGAGTTCACTTTGCTCGGTAAACGGAATTAAGGTCAAAAATACAGTGACACGATAGGCTATTGTAATCTGCTGTCCCTTGCCTTGCTAACTAAATCAAGAATTCTTGATGAGGTATAGAGAATGTATTCTACAAGCACCCAAAAAAACACGAGTTTGCTAAGCACACAAATCAAACTTATTTATACAATGATAGAAACACCCTTGGGAGAGCCACAAAATAGCGAACTAAAAAAATCTGTCAACCAATGACAGTCAAGGATTACCGAGTGGGAAATGTAAGCTGTCGATCGACTAGGCGTTTCTTGGGGTGAAAACATAAAATTCAAATTTTCAGGATATAATTACAAAATTAGGACCTTTTCCAAGTGCGTTCTGGTGATCTAATCTCCTCAACAAAGTTATTTTGTAAGATTTACACAAATTTCTACAGAATTTCCAAACTTGAAATTAGTGGAGATAACTGGTCTTTCACATTCATGTTATTCTCATTAGCATGAGTAAAATATTCCATGGTCATGATGCTTAGTCTGCATTAGATTATAATAGATATGATAAATTTTTATGACCCACTAACTTGACAGAAATTTGATGGGTTGATGATTTTAACGAAATATGCATCCCGACTATCCACGTGGATAATTATCGACTGAAATTCCGTTATTGAATAAGGGAGTAAAATAAACCAAATGTAAGGATGAATTCCGAATGAGCATATTTCATGCACTCGTTTTCCCAGACAGACAATTAGAGAAACGAAGCGAAGAAGCAAATTGTAGAAGGCAAGTCTGTCAACTCGATTTGACCTAGTGTGACCAGATAAAAATAAGTTACAGAAATACATTGAACAGGGTAAGCAAAACATACATATATACGATCATATAAAAACAGTCATGATAAAAAAATATGACTCAAGAAAAATGAATAAACTGGTCTGTTCGGAATAACACATGGGGACATGACATAGGTTTAAGCACTCAAAGCTTCATTGGTTATTTTTAAATGTTTATTGGTTTAAATAACTGTATTGTAAAATACTTGTGCCTGAAAATTCTTTTCTTGAATATATACTACTTTTTGGACATTCAATGATTAAAAGTTAGTAAAAAATCATGTATTTCCATGAATTACATTATAAAGTTAGGGACAGTTTACTTATTTTTTGGAAGTACGTTACGTTAGATAACAGCAAATGAATCATCAAAACCATTTCGAAGACTATGTAGAAAATATAAACTGAAAATCAAAGACGCAATAACAGTATAAGATAATGCTGTGGTTATCTAAGCCAATAATGAATGATTATTACGAAATAGAACATTGTTTGATTAAATGTGATAAGTGTTTTACTAATGGTTAGAAATTACGTGATCGTTAAGTTTATAAGCAATCATCCTCTCATTGTGAATGATAAAATACCTTCGAACAAACCAAAAATGTATATGAAACCATATTAGGGTAGCCTGCATCATAATAGCTAAGAAAGAAGCAAATTAACGGTAATTAAAGTGATAAAAAAATCTGAGAAGATATGGTTTGAAGCAAACAAGTGAAACGTTCTGAGAAGACAAAAATGTTCAAGGAATGGATTTTTATTCGTCTCTGTTCATGACTTCATCCTTTCAGGACTGAAATGGAATTTTGGTTCATTGCCAAGAAGTTTGTAACTCCTTTTATGGCCGGAACCTTCAACCACTGATTTTTGTAGTAATATCATGTCTAAATGTGACATCTCTTGATTTATATTTAACTATCTATTACAAAAGCCCGTATTGCATAGTTGCTAGATGGACTAACCATATGTCATGTTCAGTTTAATCTATAACTGTTAGAGGTCTCATTAAGTGACCAATCGAATATGCTTGGATCTGTCCTCTTATCTTCAACATCGACCATTCAGTGCTTCTACTATGGTGTGTGCTACTTATATTGACATAAGTAGTAGATGATGTTAGTCGTGAACAGAAGGTCTGGCATCAGAGAGACAAGATGATCGTACAGTAAAGAATGGAAACAGAATGAAATTTGTATGAAAATACAAGAACAATGAAGTCTGAGTTATTTTGAGACAATCGATGGACATTTTGCGAATTAAGCATTTACTTTATGATTGTTAGATTATATTAACAGTTCCTGTAATTGTGTTAAATACATTCGATTTTCCCCGCCCGTGTTCTGTTCACTATACTACCACTATTGAGCGATGGTCTAAAATTATCCGTTTCTAAGTAATGTCAACTTACATAAATTATATTTTCCCGAAAACCGTGTTTCCAAAGCGTTATCCAGTACAGAGGAACTGTGAAGTGGTATATCCACTCGCTGACAACAGGACAGACATCATGACCATTTTACATGTTGCACGAGTTTACAGAAGCCAAGCAAGTGCTCGTATTCATGATGTCGTCAGTGTAAACTATTCTATTCACTTGACTATGTAAAGTTTTGTTAAACTAAAAATTCATACAAATCACTTTCGAAGAAAATTTTTGTCATTAAGTGCAATGTCATACACATGTTTACATTATATTTCAAGTCCATCAAAATCCGTTCATTTATTCGAACTCTGTCACAGAAAATAGAGTTTTGTCTGCTAATTTGAACTTCATAAGTCTATTTGAAGATGTGCGATTAGTCCTTAGAAAGTGAGATTGTACAGAGCTCTTAAAGTTATTTATATCATGAATGAAATAAGCACAGAAAGGAAGGGTATCCATCACTGAATATTGCTAATGTATCAGTCAGTCTAATTGATACTAGTGGACTAATATACTAAGACGAATTTTAAGATAACCCACTGTGGTTTTCAGTTGACCTTCTTTGTAGGTTATTTGTAGCCTTTATGACTTTTATAAAAATTTTACCTTTATTATCTATCTACTTTTCACTGAGAGAAAATTAGCAACTGGTGAGTAGTTGAGGGCCTAAAAGGATCCTTAAAATCATTTTTCAAATTTAGATCCGTTATCTGTCAGAAAACACTGACAAAACCGAGTGTCAATCGTTTTGTCGTTATCATTAGTAGAAACACATCATGTTTAAATAAAGTGAGATGGGATTAACCAAATCAAAGATGACTTCTGTCGTCATACATGAATATTGAAAACTTCGGTTCCAAGAAACGTGCTGTAAACACTTCTTAGAAATATGTGCTTCGGTAAGTTTGTCACTGGAACTACTTATCTAGAAACAAGTCATTTCCATGGATAAGTGAATGTCTTCTCAAAGAATATTTATGTTATGTTTGAACACTACTGAATAGTAGTTTAAAGCTGACAAAGTAAAAATACTGCTCCTTAAAATTTTACAATTTGTCTAGATTTGCGCCGCCATGCAATTTCTTGAAAATTACTGTGACTACTCAAGATAAGTAAGTAGAGTAGCGTAACATTAATGAAATGTGAGTAAAGAAAAAATGAAAAGGAAAAAGTAGATTTAATACGTATCCTGAAGGAGTTTTAGCAATCTCGCTTCCCGAAGAATCAAGGATTATCAAGTCTGAAATCTATTATTTCTATGTTCATGTTACAATTATTTGAAGAAAAAAAAATTAATGTTAGTAACAATGATTTACCACTGTATGCTAGATAAATAGACTGTTGGTTAAATGAACTTATCGAAACCTGAGAGGTCATGGTTCAATACATAGAAAGGGCATGAATCTGGACTGAGGAAGAGTTAATTATCTGGAAATAATAGATATCCAGTTCTTACTGGTCGTCAATGAATTTCTAATGAAGATTATCCAAATATGTAAACAATAAAATTTAACAATCTCCATAAGCTTTTGTTACAAATAATTAAACGTTTTGTTAAGATCATGAATCTGTTTAAGTTAGAAGACCACTGGAGACCTGAGGAAACTGAAATATCACTTTACAAGACCAAACACTCTAGGCTCGACTTGTGGTAGCGAGGTCACAAACACACTATGTCGAGGAGTCCCATATTGTAAAATAAAACACCAGTACAGTACTTCTAGGTTTTTAATTATCATACAGCTTAGAACGTTTTGTGATCTCAACGAAATTCAATAGACTATATAACTTTAAACTGGTAGAAAACATTTATTTTTCTTCTATTATTGAAAAGTTATCTCATATAATTAAAATTCAAGAATATAGCATTTTGCATAATATAATAAAGTATTCGCTTAGCAGGAGTTTCATTGACATTGTAGGCCAACATCATCTTGTTGAAAAGGAACATAACCAACAGCGCTCCATAAACCAAGAACTATTAATTAGTTACTTAAATTATTCGGACAGATATTTTCTCTAGATATGTTTTTAAAACTTTAAGGATCGTTTTTCTCAACAGTCTAAAGAGCAACAGCCAATGTATTATTAACAAAGAATAACAACCATTTAAGTCAATGAACACCATGAATTGATTCCAGCTAGGCTGTCAAGGTTGTTTCATCTTCAAAAACCAAACTTGTCTGTGAGTTTAGGGATACCGTTAAACTCAAGAAACTTCTGAAAACTTAGCAAATTAAGTAACATAGAAAGTAATCAACGCTGACAATCTGTCGATTCCCTATAAATCACTGTAAAAAATTCTAACAGGATGAGACGTTATCAGCTTTTGTAGAGTAAGCTGAATGAGCAGAAAATAATGTACATTTTTTAGCTTATGAACATCTTTTTGAAATGTCGAGGGATCTCAACAGATTCTACTTTTTTAAAACCATCATCATTTGATGACAATTACTTCTGGTTAAATATCTTATGTTACTAAATAAAAGTTTAGGATCTACATTGATTGTGTCATTTGATATATCAATGATTTTTACAAACACTTTCTAAAGTATAGGTGAACAGTTTTGATATCGTGATTTTATTAAAATTATGTAAACCGGCTTTGTAAACAGTGGTGATATGATGAGCCTATCAAAATTAACCTAATGAGATCAGTTGATAACAATCACAAGTGACCAGCTGTTCAAGTGCATTTGATTGTCTAAATATGGATTAATTTCCAAAGGGGTAGAGTTGTACATATATAAATGAGTATTTGTGCATTTATTTGATAGCCCATTATTTTCTCTCGCTCACTATTGTGTTCTCACTCAAGTAGTGAGTTGAGCATATCGTATATCAGTATCAGCTTTCGAACATCGTCTGTCATAACTAAAAGAGAAATGTGATTTGAACAACCTAAGGAAGAAGACAGATGAGGATTATGTTCACTCTCCAATTATCATACCAAATTAAAACATAAGTAATGCTGATTAACACTTTGAGTAAAAATGTAATCTTGCTTATTTATATCATTAGAACGGATATGGCATATAATTTGTTTGATTTGACAAATAATAAAACAAATACATATGTTTGTTTTCCAAGCATATAATTAATTTTATAAGAAGTTTGTTAAAAGCTCCCATACAAGATGATTTGTCACTACAATGTGATTATAGCCAGTCTTAGGATCAACTTTAAATGACTCCAGACTGGATTATTATGCAACTGATAAGTAGTATAAAATCGTCGTCCGGGTTTTCCAAGCTGACGTTAGCGTATCATTATTTTAAACCTCAATAAGTCACACGGAAGATTATGACAACGATAATGATGAGTATCTTATTTGCTTTTCCGACGTATAATGTCAGAAATACTAGCTATTTGATCATACTGACTTGTAGACTTGAAGTTTGTAGGTTTGATGAGTTATTAGATAAGCATATATTACTCAATAGCTGTCCATTACTCCCTGATTTACAATGGCTCTTTAAGTGATATCATTCTGTAGTGCGAAAGATTTGACTTTTATTATTAAAAGCGGATTCGAAACAATTTATATAATGCTACCGTTTTTGTGATGAGAAGTATTTTTAAAAAGTTACACAATTTTGTGCAATGTAAACAGAATAATTGAAATATCACAAAGTTATCTGTCTTTTGTATGTTTCAACGGATAACAATGTCAATTAATTGCGCAACCTATTCAGGTGTGTTAGTGAAACGTTCACGACCTTTCGCCGTACAAATTAGGAAAGAATACAATGAGAGACATTGTGGTTACTGACAATATACATCATTAAGAATGTACATTATTCAAATGTCAATTCTTGAACTACTAACGTCTAATTGGTAGATCAAGAAATACTAAACGGAAACTTGTTGAAATACTGTGCGCTGATAATTTTATCTTGTATCAACAATACAATATTGAATAAAGCTAATAATAATGGTAAACGTATACTGAATGGATTTTCTTCTTAAAAGTTAAAAAAAAGCAAACCCACAGTCAAACTAAATTATTTCATAATAAAATCCTTCGAAAGTCATTGACAAAATTTTTCCCGATTTACACACATGTACACATCAAAATAAATCTCCCTTTTGAATACTCATTCTTATCAGCTCATTCTTATGATTAATGATTAGGTGCAATGATTAAACTAAAGTATTCGGTAATGTGCACATGTATGTTTCACAATTGGTTACTTTTAATTTTCTATTAAATATTACATTCATATGTAAATGCTACTTACATGTTAAATATGTTTCAAGTTAATCGATAATCGAGAGAATGTAAGTTGCGAATCAGTGAAAGCGTTCTTTTTAATATATATAGCTATTACATACAATTGATATGCACATTTCGAACTTCAATGGAACCATTTGTTAATATATTTTTTGCAATAGATGAGCAACAAAATGAGACAATTACAAGAGATGAATTGAGACGTTATGTAAAGCACAATCATTTAGATGAAGGGATGATAACGGTAGATAATTTGTTTTCTAAAAAAAAATTGTTTTATTTATAATTAATGTTTTGAAAATAGTTCCTTTTTAAATTGTCAAAAAAACTAGTCCAAGTTATATCTGTAGAATTGTGGAATATTTTACAGTCAATAGTATTATATAACTTTGCAGAATAGATTCGTGAAGTGATAGACTTATCAAGATATTTTCAAACTATAATTATTTACGTATATAATATATATGATTGAATATTTCTAAACCACAAATTGGACATTTTTACCAAGAATATAATGTAGTTAAGCGTAAAATCCAAATATTCTAGTAGTATTAAATTCAGTGAGCAAGATAGCTCAGTTGCATAGGTTTTGCTACCTTTTACGACAACATGGAATATTGAAATACAAGTCTTACAGCACAATGTAAGTTGTTATTGTTGTTTGCAATTATATATATATACCGATGTTGATGAAGTTTCTTAAGTTTTATGAGTTCATAACATCAGAATTATATTCTCATTCAGAATAAGGTTCCATGTATAAGTAGCGGAATAATTGAAAGTATGTAGCACTGTCATAAACGAGGGTGTCCCTAAACGAGGAAGACAACTAGAAAAAAACTTTGATAACGTTTTCAAAGAGTCACTAGAGATTCGCTAGGTAAAAAAGTGTTTGAAGAAGTACTGTTGTACTCAATTAAAGTGGTTACCTTATTTAATATGGTTTATTCAGTTTTAGATGATTTATCATATTATGTAAGTGTTGATCTTGTTTTGAAATTGAATATTTACCTTAAATTTCATTATGTAAAGTTTATTCTCTTGCAAAATAATTCACAATAATCATATTATAAGTATTCTCTTAACACTGACAGTAATCCCTAGAATAAACCTACTTGTTACATTATGACTATCTAACATATGGCTAAAATACACACCTTCAAGCACATTGTTTTTTATGTATATAACAGTAGGCAAAACTACCTTGAAGTAAATACTGTCGTATTTGTTTAATTAAAGATTGAGGAATAATATAATTAACCTCAAAAACGTGTAATAACAAAGGATTAAGATGGTTACTGTGATGCCATATTCATTCTTATTCAAATCTGTTATCGAATATTTCTGTTCCTAAATATATATACTAAAATGTATCATAATAAATAAAATTCAGGAAGATCTACCATTATCATTTTATAAATGCTTAGATTTAATGCAATGTTTACATAGTAACAAATTCCCACAAAGGAAAATAACAGTTAAATTGTTCATAGGAAAGTGAAAATAGGAAAAAAACTAAAACACAAAAAAATCCACTCATTTTAAAGAGTAGGTTTTACTTTTAAAACTTTCCAATTCATAATACATAACTTGTTAAGTTCTCAGGTGTTTTGAACCTAATTGTGTTAACCTTGGACAAAATAAACCCTTAACACATTATTGCATGTAGACTACTCTTATGTCTCAAACGAAAATTCATGAATGTGTAAAATGTGATGGTTTAATTATCTTATGTAATTATTTGTATTTTTCTTTCCTTCGTAAATTTTAATCAAACAGAGATGGCAAGCATTATTTGATCCAACAAATACTGGTATTATAACATTTCAAAAATTTTGTGATGTCCTCGGTGTAAAACCGGAACAAGCGTGAGTCTAGTCATTTTGGATTTTCTTACGTCTAGTTTTAACAAGAACTTACTTGAAGGGATGCCGTTTAAAGTATATTAAACTAACTATGTGAAATGTTTGATTCTGTGTGTAGTACATTTAGTAGTGAGAATATTTCTCTGCTTCTTATTAAGTCCAGATGAAATTTGTGAACAATACATGTAACATGACATAAAATGCAAGTCCATAAACATGTTCAACAAATTACAAAATTAACTAGAGCTAATCACCGCCACTTGACTGATTAGAAGTGAAAGCAGCCTAAACTTAAAGCCAGGAAACTGTGAGCTACCTCAATAAAATGTGAGAAATTGGTGTTATAGAGCAACTAGTATTAATGTATAAACCACGATGTGTTTTTTTCACCATGAAAGCTTCTTCGCTCCTAGCATTGTGTCAACTTATCCCTCTTGTTCATTCAGCTGCTTTCCCGACTAACATTGAGTTGTATTAGAAGTCATCCAAACAGGAAAACAAAGCTTCAATTTACCATATGCATTTATCGACAGGATTTTCATGTGAAGGATAATCTAAAGTGAACTACGAATATATTACTGAGCTAAGCATCAAATGGGAACCTGTTGCCCAATAACTCGTAAACCCACGTCATATTCGACCTTGGAAAGTGGATCTTCATATACTAGTAGAGTTGGTTCAGGATTCGTTCTCTCAAACAATAAAATACTGTCTGTCAAACAAGTAGAAATTGTAATTCATCATTTTATCATTTTTTTCCAGACGTACTCTTCGGAAGAGTGTTGTCAATAACCGACCACTGCCGAAAGATTTGCAAATAATCTCCCAAAATATGTCACCAGAAGATCAATTCCAAATATTTGAATTTGTTCGGTCACAGTTAGATAAGAATTTATCAGGTCAAGATATGACACAAATGATAAAACAATGGCTTGATAAGACATTCGACCCTTCATGGCATGTTGTTATAGTCGATGGTTCATATTGGATATCGTATTCACATTTACCTGAACAATCTCTACAATTTCGATTGAAAGAAAAGTGTTATTTAGTTTGGCGCACACCTAAATATTGACATTGAATCAACAAAATTATGATAATTGCAGTTACGTAACGAGTGTTTATTCATTATTGAATTTTGTTTACCCATATTGTTGTTTCACCAACTGCATATATACACATCTATATATCGACCCAAATGTCAAACTATCGTTTACTTTATTCAGTGTTCATCAAACAATTTTATTTTAAATCCTTCACAGTTTAATCATATCATAATACACACATTACCGTACACAATTTATTTATTTTGTTGAACTGTCATATTGATGTGTATGTGAGCTTGAAACTTTAGCATATGACTTTGTGTCATGCTTAGAAATATAACGTACGAAACTTACTTCAACATACCTCTTTTACTGTTAGTTATTTCTTATCAAGCTGAACTAACGATCATGTAATGTTTATAGTTTTTATTTGATTGGAAGTATTCTGAATGAAACTTCATTCATTCAACATAACATTGGTCGGTACATATTCATACCACATAAATAATTTTCGATGATATATATCTATGTATATGATTGTAACAGGAACAAAATAGTAGAATAGTGATAGTAATGAACTAGTATGGATCTGCTATCGATTAAACGTTCTTTGGAAGTCGTGTAAGCTATGCGATTAGAACCTCAGTAATGCAATCCATATAGAGATTTATTGTTTTGGAGAAAAGAGTGGTGGTATAACTTGATTGTATAATCTAATAGCAAAAGTGATGCATTTTAAAACTACTTGGTGCTCTATCATGATGGATTAAACTGCAAAATCGTGCATAGAGGACAACTGACAGACTCGCTCGAGGTAATGACCTGTGTCAGGCAAGGTTGCTTACTCTCACACTTCTTCTTTCTTCTGGTGATCGACTGGATCATGAACACGTCAACATCTGAGGGCAAGCATGGGATACATTGAACAGTTAGGGTGCAACTGGTCGATCTAGACGTCTCAGATGATCTCCAGCTCTTATCGCACACGCAAAAACAAATTCAGGAGAAGACGACCAGTGTAGCGGCAGTAGGTCTCAACATACACAAAAACAAAAGCTAGATTCTCCGATACAACACAGAATGCAAGAATCGAATCACAATCAACGGAGAAGATTTGGAAGATGTAAGATCCTTTACGTAGCTGGCCAGCATCATTGATGAACACGCTGGATCTGATGCAGATATGAACGCACGAATCGGCGATGCAAGAGCAGCATATTTACAACTGAAGTACGTCTGGAACTAAAATTAAATGTTAACGAAAACCAAGGTCAGAATTTTCAATACAAATGTCAAAACAGTTCTACTGTATGGGGTGGAAACCTGGAGAACTACGAAAGCCATCATCCAGTAGATACACGTGTTTATTAACAGTTGTCTACGCAAAATACTTCGAATCCGTTGACCAGACACTATCAGCAACAACCGACTGTAAGAGAGAAGAAACTAGATCCCAGAGGAGGAAGAAATCAGGAAGAAGTGTTGGAAGTGGATAGGACACACATTGAGGAAAGCACCCAAATGCGTCACAAGGCAAGCCCTCACATGGAATCTTTAAGGCCAAAGGAGAAGCGGAAGATCAAAGAACACATTACGCCGAGAAATGGAAACAGACATGTTGGAAATGAAAAAAATTGGACAGAACTCCAAAAGAAGGCCTATGATAGAGTGGGTTGGAGAATGCTGAATGGAGGCTTATGCTCGATTGGGAGTAACAGGCGTAAGTAAGTAAGAACGTAAGTGGTGCTCTATCGATTCTTCATTGCACAAATCTTCCGAAGACGATTTGTTACACAAACTCCACCGACCACTCAATTACGTGCGAGTTCATCCTGTCATTTACAGATTGAATTCTGTCGTAATTAGTCTCAATAATTACCAGACTGAACAATTCCTATAGAACACAAGAACTTCGAGAATTTGTACATCATAAGTAAGTGAGATAGTAAGAATCCTGAAATAGAATGGCACTGTAACAAAACAAGACGAGGTTTGGTCGGTTACACTGAATGAATATAATGCTGAAGTTTTGTTGGTGTGCCCAAAAAGCAATGAGTACATGATTGTCAGCTAGTAATTAACAAACTCAAACACAGACGTATTTATTGGGACTATCAATAATGGAAGAAATAAACAGACATCAAATCTTGCTTTTTCTGTGGTAAACACTACAGTAATGTTTCTGTTACATCAAGACACGTCCAACCGATATGTATATCCAGTACACAATTAGCAAATTTCTACATAGGCTAGTATTTGGAAGATTAAATTAAAACCACGTAATCGGAAAACAGTGTTTGCATAATGTCCCCTGTAGATAACATATCATGCACTTAGCATGTGCTAAGAATAAAACATCAGTTGCTAGACAATCTAAATACAGAAAGGTGTAAATGAAAATTAAAAACGGTCATCCTAATAAAATTATTTGTGAAACATATCCATACTACCGAATATCATGAACAGCATCGAAATGCTAGAAAGTAAACAAAAGTCACGCAAGCACTTAGTCATTGTGTACTTTCACTGCTTTTGAGAACATTATGATTCCTTTCTTCGCTAGTCATTGTTATCTGACTGCACATTTTCGCGAAAGTTTACTCCCGATAAAGTACACATTTTCCTATCTTTAACAATTGAGTGCAAATAAAATTCAAATATATCAACACTGCATTCTGTGTATTGAAGCAATTGTTGAAGGTACTTTCAAAAAGATTGTCATGTTGTTAGGGATTTCTACAATCTAGATGATGTAGTTTAACAGACATAATTGTAATCTGGATAGGGCGTGGATGGAGATTCTTTTCACTCTCCAAAAATTCACCAATCACTTCACATAAATACATTCATCTGTATCTAGATTTTATCTACATCAGATGATTAGTCAGGAAGTATCTTAAATTACTGAGATAGCATTAAAACTGAAGTAGAATGGCACTGCAATAACACAAGACGAAGTTTGGTCGGTTACACTGAATGAATATCATACTGAATTAATGCGAACGAATGTTTCACTGACTAAACATCACATTGGATGCAATGATTATCTCACGTTAAAACGTGAGTTTTAACAGTTTTGTGGTGTTTAAAATAAAATCAACCAACAACAATAAGTGAGAAAATTATGTATTGGAGGAAATGCAAACACAGTGCATTATTTTACTCAGATATACTTTGATCCCACGCTAAAATAATAGTCTTTGATCACTGATTGGAAGTATTCATATAGGATTCAGTCAGTCATCTTCACTGATTACAAGAACAATACGTAATAGTTAAGAAAGCGTATTTGTCAAGAGAATATAACTTATCGAAATTGTGTAATTATGCTAATCAGAATGACCCAAACTCCATAGATATTGGTGCATACGTTATTCGTGTGAGCTATTCACTCATTGATTATACTTTAAACATTCTTGCATCTTTACCTACTATAAACCTTTGGGTTGCAAAATTTCTTTTGAATTATTTGGTGTTTTGAGAATGATATTTTACTGGCTAGTTCATTCGTTGTCTCTTCTTTGAACTATTGTCGACGTTACCAACACAACCGAATGATTGTCTAAACCACCTCCACCATTTTTAATGGCTCGGGGAGTGGTCCCCTAAGAAAACCACCTGCTCCGGCCAGGGCACCCTGGCAGTATCACAACCCTCGCACAAATCGAATGATTTACGTGGCGCCTCCTAGTACCAATGATTATGTGTTTGAATAATAATAATAATAATAATAATAATAATAATAATATTTAATGGTCGTAATCTTGACAGTGAACAACGGGTCACTCTAGAATGAGTGATCAATTCAGAGTGAAACTCATCAAATGCTTCAATATTAATATGTCAATCTGTGGAATCCCAAACACGATCTCAGCACATATCACTCAGAATGTCAGAATGTTATACAACGAAATTTCCAACTTCGACAGACATTACTGCTTTAACGAACACTGGTTACTAAAAATATTTGAATTTGACAGTTACAAACAGAAAGTAGACTGCATTAAAATCAATTGTTTTGACATTTTTGATATGATATGATAAATTGGTGTGAACATCTCACCACTACAAGAGATCTTCGTAAACGTATGAGCAAATCAGTTCGTAGTTATAACATATATCTGTACGTATAGCTTGTTGAGATAACTGAGTGTTTTTTAAGACAGCGAGTCGACATGAGTTAGATAACCATTGCTGAGTTATACTATCGTTATCCATGAAGAATGGGATTTCAAGACAATAAATTGAACAATAATCAATGGATTGATCAATGAGTGAGTGGTTTATATATAGACGGTGAATTGATGTATTGAGCGTGTTAACACCCATGGTTTTGATACCAGTGTAAAATTTTCGATACAACAAGAATAATGTAGTGATGCGCATTCGAATATCATATGAAGAACCCATCCACTCAAGAGTTCACGTGTGATTTGTCGATAAGTGTGAACTGATATCGGAACTAGATCAATCGTTTCCTGTCGACTAACTTAAACCACCTGACAACTCAACATGGTAAGCGTGATCTTCAGTCAATTAAACCAGTAACCACATTACAACTTGAGTGACAGAACTGTAAATGTCCTAAATGGTGAGAAAAATATGACATTGTTCACAAATCTGTGACCAATCATTTGTACAAGTCGAAACACCGTAGAACTTTGATGACTCTTACAATGTATCTCGTTTATCATTCTAGAAACATTTCTGCCATAACGACAAATACTTTCTAAAAGATATATTGATGGTTGGATTACGGTGATTAAACTAAGAACACAATCATGTTAAATGGTAGAAAAAGTACTTGGTATGAAAACGGATTATTCGGATAATCACTCAATGAACAATGAGTGCAGTGAATGTGCATTAATATGGATAGGTGAGAAGGCATTCAGGAAATATAACTACATGATATACAATATTTTCGATGGAATAATTGTATTGTCTGCATGGATCACTGAATGGTTACACCTGAATATAATTGGAACGACTACTAAACTAATTGTTTATTACTTTGATGTTAAATAGGTCATTCACAAGAATGTAATGAAAGGTATTTAATCAATTTGAATGATATATTTTCAAATACCAAGCTGTCAAAATTAACTGATTATTTCTAGTGTGACAATTATTGTTTAATGTTAAATTACATTCTACAATTCTAGTCATGATGTGTTTAGAGATTAAACTATTGATAATTTCGTGTATATATCTGTTTATGTATATATACATTAAATCAAGTAAGTAACTATCAAATATAATCTGTGTGTATAATCCACACTATCACAGTCACTATTCTTCAACATGGTTGTAAAATTTGATGATCAAGAGAGCACAAAACCAACATCGAAAGCATTTC